CTAAAGAGGATAGAGAGAAACACTGTTAACTGATGATATATGGAGGGGATAATAATCAATGTAATGAAACAAGCTATATGAATGGTTGAATGTAAAGCTGATGATGTGCCCTGTAAACTTTCACTCAATCCAAAATAAAAACATTTAATAAATAAATAAAGAGCCCAGAACTCTTTTATTTAAAAAAGTTTTTATTGTGAATGGAGTGATAGTTTATATGAGAGAACATCAGCTTTATATTCTTCCTATCATATTTTGTTTCATTGCAATGATTACAATCCCCTCCATGCATCATCATTCAACAGTATTTGCTTCTGTTCCCTGTGTTTTGTTTTGTTTTTAAGGTGTACACCGAAGCACTCAGGAATATATAACCATTCAGAAAACCAAAGGGTACAGCAAGCCTGCACACCCCCCAGACGCCAGCACACAGCCCTTCTCCCTCCCTGAGTTCAGAGTCCCCAGCCGCTCCATCTTTCCACGTCAACATCTCAAGAGCCCAGAACTCTTGCTCCAATTTCCTTGAGTAAATGTTCCAACCATAAAGTGTTAGGCACTGTGCTACAACGAATGCTAGCTATCAGGCGAGGGCAGCTTGTCGGGGAGCAATCTGAGAATGGGCAAGTCTACTGTGAATGTGAAATAATGAAAAAGCGACTGGGAGTGGGAAATAATGGAAGAGGAGCCTGGCGAGTAAGGCAGCAACCATACAAGACAAGAATCAGGATGAAGGAGAAGCCCGTGACCATCTCTACCTATGGAACCTGTCAATCCCATTTCACCTGCTCCTTGGGTCCTGCTGATTTGCTCATCCTCTCCACTGTGGTCCCTAGCCACCCATCCGACACATGAAACTTTTACCCAGTTTTCTCAAACAACCTCCCATCTCCCGAACATTTAGGAGCTTTAGTATCCCTGCCCCACCGTCCTGGGCACATCTCTTCTGTTGTCCTCATCTAAACACAGCCCCAACCCCACCTCAGACTTGCCCCACACCCACCCACCTCACTTGTGCCATATCTCTTCTACCTTCTGTACCCTGCCAGCGTCCTAGAATGCATTCATGGTGCCTATATTCTCCATGATCCCAGGTCGCACGGATGGCCTTGGTCTCCTCCAGGCTACTTGACTCCTGGGCATCTGCAAAGGTTGCCATCCTGTCCACGCAACTGGACCTCAGCCCAAACCCCTCTTCCTCCACTCTGCTAACAGAATTTCCAACTCCTCCCAGCTGCTTGCTTACTGAGTTTCGGCCAGAGCCTACAACTTGTAAGTCTGTGATACCCTCAACCTCCTCCACCTGCTTGTGTCTCAAGTGTCAGCCAGTGACTGCAGCTTCTCCAGTCCTCTCAGGTCCCTGTGATGGCCTCAATCTCTGCCACCCTGCTTTCCTGAAGGGAGACCTGGACCTTCTTCCCCTCCGCCACTTGTTGGTCCTTGACAAGAGCCTCAACCTGTTCCACTTACTGGTCGCCTCCCTCTCTCACCCTAGCGGCCTCATCAAATGTCTCTAATTCCCGACTGGTCATTTAGACCTACTTGATGACCTTCTTCCCCTCACCCACACTACATTTGAACCTCAATAAGTCCTCCACTGGAGTCCCGGTGTGGTGCTGTGGGTTAATGCGCTGGACTGCAAAGTCGGTTTGAACTGCAAGCTCGACGGTTCAAGCCCACCATCTGCTCCTTGGAAACCCCATGCAAGGTTGCATGGGTTGGATATTCGCACAGTCGGTTCCCTTTGGGTCAGAAGCGACTCGATGGCACTTAACAACAAGGCCTCCATTACCTGTGCCCACCTCCCACACACTGATCACTAGTATTGTTGTTGGTGTTTCCTAATGGTTTCATTCTGTCCCTCCCATCTTCAATAGAAGAAAAGCCTCTGACGTGGAAAGAGGTAGGCCTCGAAGGACTCTTAGCTGGGGCATCAGTCACAACAGAACATTTGTTTTCAACTACAACTGATAATATTTGAAATAGAATCGCACAACTGGTGTCCCTGATGAGTTAAATAGACGTTAAAATAAGCAGACAACTAACTACTCAACACTGACAAACCCTTACTGGGTACCTACTGCCTGTGGTGACAAACAGTCTCCACCCCTGGTCCCGTGGCTTTCAGATGCAACAATGTAAAACAACCCAATTTTACATCGTGTACAACTCCTCAGGATGGAGAGGATTTTGCTAACCAAAAAAGTCACATTTTGTAGATTAAAAAAGTAAGGTTAAGTGACTTGCCCTAACCTCCCAGGAAGGATGCTCCAAGGTTGTGTTCTTGACCGTATTAACTCTGACAACCCTTTCAGACACTGGTACTAGAATTACGAATTCTCATCACCATCCTGAAATGCACAGTGACACTGTGGACTCAAAGCCTTGAGCATATTCATATCCTTTTACTCACTTAACGCCCCCTAGTGGTAATCTGCCCTCAAGAACCAACCACACATACAGTCAGAGTATTGGTGAGAGCAGAGACTGACAGTGAAGATGGGCAACAGGCCATTTGACCTGCGGCGCTGTGGGCTAGTGCGTCAGATTGCAAAGTCATTTGAACTGCAAGGTCGGTGGTTCAAGTTCACCAGATGCTCTTTGGAAACCCTATACAGGGTCACTTTGGGTCAAATCGACTCAATGGTAGTTACCAACAGAGGGATTGTGTAATTCATGTAAATCCTTAGAGTGGAGGCAGCCACTAAAAGTCATGTGGTTGATATTTCAAGACCAGCAAAGTGCTCTTAGAATGATCAGTGACAAAAAAGCAGGACCAGGAATTTCTACATGATATCCTTAAAAAGATTTATATGTCAATAACACATATAGAGTGATAACATAGTGCATTAAATTAGTTATGATTGTTGTTGTTTTTAATTTTAAAGGATGAGTTTTTCCTTATTTATTCCACATACTTTTTAATATTCTGATTAGATTATGAACTACTATTGGACTATCTTTCCCTTTGAAATGCAAGTTATGTAACGTCTAAAATGTACAATTCTGGGACCGAGGCAGGCCAGCAGCAAAAGGCAGAACTTTGCTCTGTGAATCTGATCCCCACTGGCAGTGAGGAGGGATCTGGGCCAAGACAGGACAACTGTGCCTGGTATTCTGGGACAGGGCGGGAGCGCAGTGGAGGCTCAGTTACAGAGAGAAGTTGCGAGACAGCGATATATGGGTAAGAACTGAAGACAGGTGGGCAAGCGTGAGATACAATAAAAAAAAAGAGGGTCTGCCACTGAAGGGGTGATTAAGGAGACTTGTCTCCCTCACTGTCCCCAGTCTCTGCAGCATTTCCCACTCACGTCAGTGGGGCCTTCGTCAGGCAGCCTAGAAATGGCAGAGCTAGGATTAGACTCAGCCAGAGAAACTGGGTTCCAAAGAGCAAGCACCCCTTCTCTGTCAAACAGAAATACTTCCATGAGTGAGTACTCCAGCCCTGTAGAGCCAGGTCCACGAATGATCCCATGGATACTCGCTAACTTAAGTAGGTTTATGATGCAGAGCTGAGCAGTCCCAGTCCTCAGCACATCCACACAGGAACTGTCGTTAGGATGGCAGTTGGTGGAGGATCGGGTGGTCAGCGGAATTCTGAGAATGGGCTCATGGGTAGGAGGCATCCACTCTGAACTGTCTGAAGCACGTAAGTGATTGGATGTGGGAGAGAGTATGCAGAGAATAAGAGACAAGGTTAATGGTAAAGAGGCAGCTGTCTTCCTTCTCCTCCTGATCCTGAGTCCCTTGTGTCCTGCTGACCTGCACACCTACTGGCCTTCTCTGAATCCTCTACTCTTTCTCTCGTTTGGTCTCTTGCCTGCTATCCCAACCTTGCAAGCCCTACGTATCTCTCTCATACATCATCCATCTCCCCTTTCCAGGAACTTGAGCACTGCTTGTCCACCTCTCTGGAAATATCACTTTCTTGACCTCATCCCAATCCAGGCCCCACTCTCGTGAATTTAGCCTCAAGTTCACCAACCTTCTTTGTGCCACATGTACAGCCTTCACCTACTGTATCCTGATGGTCTCTTAGGGCTCGGGTATGACTCCTGCCTTCCCCAATCTGCCAGCTTTCACTGATGACCTTCATCTTGCCTCCAGGCTTCTGCCAAGGCTAATACTTTACCAGATCCCACTCAAACCACCTCCTTGTCTACTCTGCTGGCCTCGCTGGCATTTGACAGAATCTCCAACTACTCCACCTGGCTTACTTCCTAAGCCTCGGCTAGAGACTGCACCTGCTCTCCATCTCTCAAGTCTCCATCCAGGACAGCTTCAACCATCTCCACCCTACTTAACCCCTCCAGATCCAGATCCAGATTCAGTTTCTCATTTCCTCTCACATCTCTATGACAACCGAAACCTTCTCCACACTGCTCTCCTCTGGAATCTAGGCAAGAACCTCCTTCCCCCTCCACTTGACAGTGTACCTGGGTCCCAGCAAGAGCTCTAACTCCTCCCCTCTTCCCATCCCACTGGCCTTTTGTGCCTCATTGAAAGCCTCTACCTACCACATCTTACTGGCCACTTGGAGCTACTTGATGACCTTTCTTCCCACATTGAAGCCTCCAATGCCTATAGCCAGGTGGCCTCCTAGCCTTCAACACAGGAATTGCACTTAGCTCCATTCCCAGGCCTCCCGGACACTGTGCAGACTTGGCTGTCTCCAGCTCCAATACTCTAATAACTAGTACGGGTCAGTGTTTCTCACTGGGTCATTCAGTCTCCTTCCACCTTCCATAGAAGTAGTTTCACCACCAGACCAGAAGTCCCAGACCTGGGGAAATTCTCTAAGGGGGCCTGGCCTGTACTGAGATGAGGGCAAGACAGGGGTGTCTTGGACAGGACAGATGTGTGGGTAAGTATTAGAGTGGTGGGCAAAGGCAGGAGACAGAAAAAACAGAGGGCCCTGCTTCGGCATCTGTCACTGAAGGGGTGACGAACAGGAGTTAGGTTAGGCAGGTTGATCCTGAAACCTCCTCTGTGGGAGGGGAAACTGAGTAGAGTCTCTCACTGCCCAAGTCCTGTGGCATTTCCCACCCTCTCCAGTGGAGACGTCATCATGTTCTCAAACCAGGCACCACACCCTGTACTGTCCCCAACCGACTGGAAAGGGTAGAGCAGGGACTATACCATACCCAGAGCTCAGCACATCTTCTCTGTCCAACAAAATGCTTCCAGGAATGAGGGTTCAAACCCTGCAGGACTTTGAATAGACAGAAAACAGAGAATTCCTGAAGCCCCTCAGCGGTCCTAACTCATACTGGAAATTCCTAGGAAAAGTTCCCTCTCCCTCCTCCTCTCCCCTCTTCCTCAGGGAGATTTCTCCACTCTCCTTCTCCTAGGGATGGATACTCTCAATAAACACTCTGCTCTAAGCTCTGAGTCCAGTCTCAGAACATTGGCTCACTCAGCTCAGGTGATAAAAAAATTTTTCCCGGTAACATTAGCACCCTCCATGACGCTGTGGACTTATGTGTCAGACTGCAAAGCTGTTTGAACTGCAAGGTCAGTGGTTCAAGCTCACCAGTTGCTCCTCAGAAACCCTATACAGAGTCGCTATCGGTTGGAACCGACTTGACGGCACTTAACAACAGCTAGCTGGACTACAAAGTCAGTTTGACCTGCTCGGTCGGCGGTTCAAGTTCACCAGTTGCTCCTCAGGAAACCCTATACAGGGTTGCTATGGGTGGAAACCGACTCAACGGCACTTAACAACAATAACAACTAGCTAACATAAGGCGCTCTGGTAGTGTAGTGGGTTATGAGTTAGGTTGCTATGAGTTCGAATCTATCAGCTGCTCCTCGGGAGAAAGATGAGGCTTTCTGCATCAGTAAAGATTTACAGCCTCAGGAAACCCTATACAGGGTCACTGAGTCGGAAGCGACTCCATGGCACACCACCACTGTTTTGTAGTGAAGCGCCGTTGAGTCAATTCTGACCCATAGTGACCCTGTATAGGGTTTCCAAAGAGCAGCTGGTGAGCTTGAACCGCCAACCTTGCAGTCCAAATGGCTTTGCAGTCTGACGCATTAACCCACAGCGCCACACCAGGACTCCACCATTCCCCAATCCCCCCCCCACCATCATCAAAGCACCACTACCACCATGACCACCAGCACCACCAGTAGCTAACATGAAATGGTAGTTGGTAGGGGATCAGGTGGGTGGTTAATCTGAGCAATGACGAATTTTTGGTGGGGAGGAGAGAGATCTGGTTGGACAAGAGAGAACATAAAGGATCCATGTTATTATGACAGCCACCAAACTACAAGAGTCAGCAGGAAGAAGAAACAGCCTGTCCCCCTCCACCTGTCTCCTGTTCACCTGTGTTCTCCTCCTCCCCTGTGCACTTCTTGACTCCCACCCCACCTTCCAGCCCTACCCCATTTCCTCTCACAACCTCCCCGCCCTTGTCCAGGGGCCTTAGCACCCCTCCCCCAGCACCCTGGACACAGCCCTGGCTTGTCCTCATCTCAGTACAGGCCAGGCCCCCTTACAGAATTTCCCCGGGTCCGGGACTTCTGGTGTGGTGGTGAAACTGCTTCTATCTCTGTTCCCCCATGGCCTTCCAGGATGCAGGGATGGCGCCTACGTTCCCCATCTTCCAGGATGTCACTGCTGGCCTTCATCTCCTTCGTGCTAACAGACTCCTGAACGTGTCCAAAGACCAACCCCTCCTCCAGTGACTCCACTATCTCCATTCTGAAGGTGTCCGGAGACAGCGGTAGATTCGCCAATCTCCAGCTCCAGTTCTCCGATCAACAGTTCTGTTGTCAATGGTTCTTGATGGTTTGGTTCTCTTTTCTTCGTCTTCCGTAGAAAAAATCGCAGCAGTGGCATTCATCACTGCCGACAATGTGTTATCAACTCAAATGGTCAGCATTTGAAATAGAATTTTGCAACTGGTGTCTCTCATGAGTTGACAAGATGTAAGATAAGCAGACAACTACTCAACACTGACAACTGTCTGCTCAACAAACCCTTATTAAGTACTGCTTGTCTGCTGTGACAAACAATAGTCTTCAACCCTGGGTTCATGGCTTTCAGATGTGACAACCTGAAATAAGTGTGTGTATTGTCTACGGCTCTTCAGAATGGAGGGGATTTTGATCCTCAACAAAGCCTCATTTTGTAGATGAAAAAACTAAGGTTAAGTGACTTAGCCTAATCTCCCAGTAAGAATGTCTCAACAGTTGGTGATTTTGACTGTATTAATTCTTTTGGCAGCCCTTTCAAACACTGGTACTAGAATTATGAATTCTCATAACCATTCTGAAATACACTGTGACACTATGTAACTGAAGCCTAGAGGGAATGTTCATATTCTTTTACTCAGTAAAGTCCCACTAGGAGTAAATGTCCTAATCAATAACCACACATGCAGCCATGGACCTGGTGAGGCATTACTCAATCTAACAGGATGGATTACAGTGAAGTTATGGCAACAAGCTATTTGACCCATAGTAGAGGAGCAACAACAAAAGGGGTTGTGTAATTAACGTAAATCCTGAGTGGAGTCAGCCTTAAAAGTCATTATTTTTAAGAGGCATTTTGGGATAAGAAAAGTCTATTGTTTAAAAAAATTCTGATTAGATTATGTACTATTATATTTATCATTCTCTTTGAAATTAAAGTTAAGTAATGTAAAAAAATACTGGGCCTTTATACAACATCCAAATAAATTAAGAAAAGATTGAAGTTGTCAAAGACTTCATTTTGCCTGGATCAACCATCCACACTCATGGAAGCAGCAGTCAAGAAATCAAATGACATATTGCATTAGGCCAATCTGCTGCACAAGACCTCTTTAAAGTGTTCAAGAGGAAAGGTGTCAGTTTGAGGACTAAGGTGCACCTTACCCAAGCCTTGGTATTTTCAATAACCTCATATACATGTGAAATTTGGACAGTGATTAAGATAAGATAGGCCATAGAAAAATCGATGCATTTGAGTTATGGTGTTAAGAGAAGAATATTAAAAGTATTATGGACTGCCAAAAGAACAAACCAAGCTGTGTTGGAAGAAGTACAGCCAGAATGCTGCCTGGAAGCCAGGATGGCCAGACTTCATCTCTCATACTTTGACTATATTATCAAGAGGGACCAGTCACTGGAGGAGGACATCATGTTTGGTAAAGTGGAGGATCAACAAAAAAAAGGAAGACCCCCAACGAGATGGATTGGTACAATGGCAGCGACAATGGCTCAAATGTAGCAACTATTGTGAAGGTGACACAGGACCAGGTAGTATGGTTGTGCATGGGTAGCTATGAGTCAGTACCGACTCGATGGCACCAAACAACATCGATAACGTAAAATTATGGGACAGAAGCAGGGCAGTAATGAGGTGCAGGATTTTCCTCTGTGAATCCAAGTACCATTGGTTGTGAGCACCTTACAGGGCCAAGAATTGAGAGTAACAGGCTAGGGCAGGAAGGGGTGCCTTGTCTTCTTGGACAGGGCTGGAGTGGAGTGGAGGGTCAGGTCCAGAAACAAGTAGGGAGACAGAAATGTGTAGGTAAGAATATAAGGGGAGAGACAGAAGAAACAGCGGGCTCAGCCTCTCCATTGGCTAGTGAAGGGGTGATTAATGGATGTCAGACAGAAGAAACAGCGGGCTCTTGTCTCTCCATCGGCTAGTGAAGGGTGATTAATGGATGTCAGACAGGTTGACCCTGCAATCTCCCCTTCTCTGTGGCATCTCCCAGCTACTCCAACTGGACCTGCATCATGTTCTCAAATCAGGCCCCAAGCCCAGTACTTCCCCTAAGATAGGCACATAGTCTGGAGGCAACAGCTCTGTGATTGGAACCACCTAGAACAGGTGGGCTCCAATGAGCCAAGCACACCTGCTCTGTCAGACAGACATGCTTCCATGGGTGAGTGCTTCAGCCCTACAGAGTCAAGCCCGACCCTGCTACGGTGAATACTCGCTAACATGGGTAGGGTTGTGATGCAGTACCAAGCAGGCCTAACCCTCAGTGCTTCCAGAGAGCATCTGTCACTGGGATGGCAGGGGGTCAGGTAGGGCAGAAGTCTGAGAATAGGGTCATGGGTAAGACAGGTCTACTCTGTTCAAAAAGGTTCAAAAGCAAAAGAAGTGATTGGATGAAGAAGAAAATATAGAGCATCCAGGTTATTAAAAAGACAAGGTTCAGGTCAATATAGAAGCCTTCCTCCTATGGCTTCCAAGTCCCACTTCAAATGTGCCTTGTGGTCTGGTGTTCTGCTCACATACTGGCCTTCCCTGAATCTTCTAGTCCTCTACTGCTTGTTCTCTTGCCTGCTATCCTAACCTTGCACACCCTAATTCTCTCTCCCCTAATGCCTCCATCTCCCCTCTCCAGGAGTCTGAACACGCCTTGTCTCTTGTCAAAAGGGTTACCTGTAACTCACTTGCCCATGCCTTTGTCACTACACTACGTTTAAGTCCCTGGTTTGAGAGTTTTTCAATGTTGACATTACATCAAGAGAGTTTTCCGTATTCGGAAGCATCTTTGGAACACGTGCCGTTCAGCGCTGCCTTCCTGCAACCATGGTGGCTTATGCTTATTACACAAGCCCTTGCCAATGGGTCACTTAGCTTGTTGCCACATTTTCACCCTAATATCTCATCTTCAAACTGGAGCGGTCTCTACCACCCAACAGTCACCTGCTCTAGATGAAGAAACCAAGATTCTGTGATGTGCCCGATTTCCCAGTAACTGTGTCCCAAGCCTGAGTTCTTGACCATATTCTCATCTCATTTCACACATCCATGATTACTTTCATGACTTAACTGGCCCTCTTGATTGGTTCTGGTGCTTGGCTTCCGCAACTCCTTCAGGGTGGCCAGGACTAGGTAGGCTTGGGTAACTAAGAGCACTGGCTTTGTCCACTTGTACAAGAAGCAATTCAATTGGAGGATGGGGTGGAGCCAACTTCATGGATGAGAACCTCTGTTTCCTGTGTTCCCAAACTAAAAGGAACCCACCGAAGGCAAGTATAGTTAAATAAAGATAAATGTGCAAGAAGGTTATTCTGGAAGCATGGATATCTGAGGGGCCAGGCTATTTCTTGGAGGTTGATTTGGGGTTTCTATGAATTATTCTATATGACTGCTATAGTATATATTTGAGGCTTCCCATGACTTTAACAATTCTCCTTTCAGACTGTTGACAACTGCATCGGGATTTCGGCCATAGCCTTACTGGCTATTCTTGAGGTGAGTATTTTAAGATACCTTATAGACATATTCTGGAGTCCTGGTGTGGTGCTGTGGGTTAATGTGCCAGACTGCAAAGCTGTTTGAACTGCAAGGTCAGTGGTTCAAGCTCACCAGCTCCCCCTCCAAAACCCTATACATGGTCGCTATGAGTTGGGATTGACTCGATGGCACTTAACAACATAGACATACTTTGAATCATCAGATAGCCACTGGCACATATCTGGGTCTCCTTTTAGATTACTGATGTAAACACACATTGAAGAGTTAATCTTGTAAAATGGTGATGGTGGTGGTGGTGTGTCACCGAGTCAGTTCTAACTCATAGTGACCCTGAGTGGAGTTTCCGAGACTATAAATATTTACAGGAGCAGAAAACTTCATCTTCTCCCATGGAATGACTGGTAGATTTGAACTACTGATCTTGCTGTTAGCAGTCCAGCTCATACATAATGCACTAACCTACCAGAGCTCCTCATCCTTTCTAGTAACCATCTGAGGGAACGAGTCAACTGTAAAGTGTCCATGAGGAAACGTTCACTCATCAATTCTGTCCAAAGAAATAAATATGAACTCTTTGGAGGTCCTTTCAGACATCAGAAGAGGAATTGGGAATTCTCACAACCATCCTGATACGCAGTGTATTCAAGGCCTTAAAAATGTTCATTGTTGTTGTGTTCAAAGCGACACTGAGGTTGAATACTTATCCTACTGCTCAACTTAAATCAGTGCAAGCCCACTTCTCATCTTCCACACTAATGAAACAAGCACACACGTGTTCACAGACCTGGTGAGGGCAAGTTCAATGGAACCGGATGTATTGCAGTGAAAATATGGCAACATGCTAAACGGCCCATTGTAATGGGATTTTGCAATCACATAAGTCCTTACGTGAAGGCAGTAATGAAATGGATGTGCTCCAGAAACAAAGTGAAAAATGCTTCATGAAAACACCATAGAATGGAAGGAAGAGGGATTTCTGACCGGGACTTTTGTCATCATTGTATCCACTACCTTTCGGGCTAGTTCTGGGGCTCCAGACACACAGTTCTGTCCTCACTCCTTTTACGAAGACCTTGGCATCCTCTAATTAGATCCCTCTTCCTCTGTTTCAGACACCAAAGCGTCTTATGCACTTTCACTTACTGATACAGGTTTTTTTCCTTGTCTGTTGTACACTTTTGTTGTTGGTTTTGCTAAGTGCTATCCAGTCGGTTCTGACTTAGCGTGACCCTGGTATCGGGCTTCTGAGGAGTAGCTGGTGCATTTGAATTGCCGCCTTTCCGTTAGCAGTCCAATGCTTAAACTACAGAACCACACCAGGACTCCTGAAGAGGCTTAGTTTATGGTGAGATTAGAGGAGACCTAGAGTTTGCGGGCACCTGGTGCTTCTCTTGGGGAACTTAGAGGAAAATACCAGGTGTTGACAACTTCGTCATTTTGTTTCAGAATTTGTAACAGGTGGTGCTTTGGTCTGTCCTATTTAAATCATTGAAAA